AAAGTCACTGCTACTTTAAGGTCGCTCTACCATCTGAAAAATTTTCTCCCATACAAAACTAAGCATATGCTTGTTCTAACATCTGTCTTGCTCGTCATTGATTATGTAGATGTTTGTTACCCAGACTTGAAACAAAATCTTCTCAATAAGCTTGAACGCCTTCTTAATAACTGCATCAGGTTTATTGTCGGCCTTCGAAAATATGACGTATTCGCCTTAAATGGCTAACTATCTGAGAAAGGCGTACTTTCAGAATTTGTCGGTTTTCCACTCCTTTTTAAATTTTTTGTCCTTCCTTCCCTTCCTAATAAATTTCAATATCTTTCCTCCAACCACGAGAGGCTACTTCGCTCTTCAAATAATCTGAAGATTTCGGTTCCATTCCATTTTACTGGCTTTACCAGCAATTTTTTACTATTCAGGCTACGCTACTCTGGAACTCCTTATCTGCAGACATTAGAAAAACACCAAGTAAGATAATCTACAAAAGATTGTTTAATTTTTCATATTTTTATTCAAATTTTTATTTGGAACATCTTCGTCTTCATTGGGAAACAACGTCGTCTAAATAACATCAATTAGTATTGCTACCTTTATTCAGATATATTATGTATGTACAATGTATTTATGTCTGTAAATATAAGTGTTAAGGAAATTGTTATATATGAATTTTTATGTATTTGTTTGTATTCATATGTATTTGTTTAATTAATAAGCCTTATTTTAATGTGTTGTATCTATTTATGTTTATTATATTTAGTTATTTAAGTCATTGGCAGAGAATGCTAACTGACATTGAATCCGCCCTTTGTAATTTATATGGTTAAAGCAATAAAGTCTTTTAATAAATAAAATTAAAATAAATATACTGAGGGTGAAGTGTTTTTAAAGTGAAGCATATCTATGCAAATAAATATAATTGAAGTAAAATAAAAAAATATATAATTGAAGTATCTGTTTGTAATGTCAAAATAACAGCTTTCTACTAATTGCATAAGAAAGTATATACGGTACTTATAACAAACACAATTTTTAAAATTTTTGTCTGTCTGTCTGTCTGTTTGTTCCGGCTAACATCCAAAATGGCTGGATTGATTTTGACGAGACTGTCAAAATACTAATAGATACGAGTAGCTCATGTTATAAGGAGCAACTTGGGCTACTTATATTTTAGAAAAATATTTAGGGTTCCGCACAACAAAATTAAAACCCTAAATTACACGAGGGCGAAGTCGCGGGGAACAGCTCGTGTATACATATAAATAAAAATGAAGTATTTGTTTGTAATGTCAAAATATCAGCGTTTATCTAAATGCATATGAAAGTTTATACGGTACTTATAAATAAACGCAATTTTTAAAATTTTTATCTGTCTGTCTGTCTGTTTATTCTGGCTAATCTCCAAAATGGCTGGACCAATTTTTACAGGAATTTCGCTGGCAGATAGCTGATGTTGTAAGTAGTAACTTAAGCTACTTTTATTTTAGAAAAAGAAATAAGGTTCTGCGAAAAAAAATTTAAAACCCTAAATTACACAGGGGTTAAGTCGCGAGTAACAGCTAATACTCTATAAAATTTTCAAATTGCTACGAACGTAATCGGACGAAAAACGTAATTATAATAATAAGCTGATTTTATAGCCAGTATCATATTATCCTTTTGATTGAAATATTAGCGATTATTGGTATCGTGTTGAAGTTGAGTGTAAGTCAGCATTCTGCAGTTAGAATCATCTCTTAATGGGAGAACTCCTTTATTTTAACTGTTATCGTTACTTGATATTATACATTTTTTTTTTTATATTTTAAACTTTGTGGTTAGACTTAAAATAGAAAAATATTGTAATAATTAAATAATTTGAAATTTTGCATGTGAATTAAAAATTTGCTACTAATAGCGAAAGTGCTAACTACTAACATGCGTACATTAATATACGAACCATATTTTTATATTTTAATATATCAGTGATACAATGAAATTGAATGAGACTTTGAGTATTAACTAGTCAAACAAATTATTAACAGCATTTTATAATAAAGCAACAGATATTTATCAAACCCTAGATAGCTTCAAGAACGCGACAAACAACTGAGCGGCACTAGGTTAATGTCATTTACATAATATAAAGATCGAGAAGGTTAACAAATTACGGGAAATAATAATAATGATTGCATTTAAAATTTCAAATTATTGTACTGTTGTCTAAGTTGTTATTTATAAGCTTTTGACGCTGCGTGAGCGTTGACACTTTTTGTTACCGACACGGGACACCATCACAGGAAACCGTGGTTACTGTGTCCAGTAGCGACAATCGGACACAGTCGCCGGTTGCTACTTCTGAACACTGGTAACAATTCGTTACTTGTTTCCCGTCAGTTTTACCTTGGATTTCAACGGAAGAACTTTGTTTGTTGTGTTGATTACATTTTGACGTAGACGTCGTCGCCGTCAATATTTACAGGCAAATCAACCACGTCAATGTCATCGCTGTACAATTGTAAGGAAATTTGCTTTATCTTGCTTGTGTCTTCAACTGACGACTTAAAGTTTCCAGTTACCTATACCGAACATATTTTGATTGGCGGTCGGTATCTGTCAAGTGGAAGCAACTGGACATATAAAGTGTCTGCGTCTGCGCAAGGAATGCCTGATTTCATATTGATTATATGAAAATAAAATATTCATTGGTAGCTTGTATCCCACCCAAGATACAAAAGTGTCTAGGTTTGCGCAGCACTTTAACCTATATAATTTCCGTTTTGTAGAGAAAAATAAAAAATATTACAACCAAATACTTTGATAATCAAAATATTTTCCTAAACTATTTTTTACATAATTTTTGCTATTGAATGTGAAATTGGTTGATGCCCTTGCTATAAAATTTTGCGGCACGAAAATTAATAAACTCTTTGATTGCGTTTTATTTTTCTACTTCTTTGAACTTCGAATAAAGTCGACATTTGTAGGGGCGACGTTTAAAGAGTATGGTTGATGAGAAATTGTATCTTGCTTTAGCTCCGCTGATAATATCAAAGTTTGTGTTATGCAGTATGTGGCCGGGTGTTGTCTTCCAAGTTCATGTTGAAAATAAAATTTCAATAAAATATCAGTAGTACAGCAATCTCAGATTTCATACCGTGAATTTTAAGGTGAGGTGAGTTCCCCTGAGCAACCAAAGATATTTTACAAACAAAAAACAGTTCTTAAAAATAGAATTATAAATAACATCGTAACACTAAGGTAAATATTGCAAAGCTAGAAATGCCAGATTGTTCACGGGTATTGGTTAATTGATCTTTTTTTTGGGTTCCGTAGTTAAACAACAACGAGCCCTTATAAATTCGCCATGTTCGTCCGTCCGTCCGCGGTTTTAATGAGAGACCCTAGGTGCTACAAATATGTATGTTGGCATAGTTATGGATAATAATCACGACTACAAAACTGAGACATAAAATCTTGAAAAACATTTTTATTATGGTAATACAGGTAAAGGGTTTGGACCCGTCTATTCCATCATATGGGGTGTCGATGTATAGGTCTTTCAAAAATATTGGAAGTATGGACAACATTTTTTCGTTTCAGTGCTCCGTTTGCGAAATATTTAGCTTTAAAGTGATATTTTTTATTAGAGCTTTGTGCCCTCCCTCCCCTCCCTCTATCTACTTGGCATATGAATTATTTGATGTAAATTGTATTATTTTCAAAATCCAAAAGTTTTTAATACTTTTTGAATACCACTTACTATAAGTCTCCTTTGAAAGTAAGTCCTTCAGTTAACATGTCCTATTTTTAGTCATTATAGCGGTCAAACCGCGAAATCACTCCATTATCATCATTCACCACTCCTTCACAGGTCCACTACTGAACATAGACCTCCCCCGAGAAATGCCAAAAAGTACAGTCCTGAGCCACCTGCATCCATCGACTTCCCGTATATCTTGCCAGGACGCCTCTCCATCTAGTAAGACATGCGTCACTTCGTTTGCCCATACGAGGCTGTCACTCGAAAACCTTTCTTCCCCATCGGTTGTCAATTCTTCGAGCTAAATTGCCGGCCCATTGAATCTTCAGCTTACTAATCCGATGAGCTATGTCAGTTACTGTGGTTCTACTGCGGATATCCTCATTTTTAAGTCTGTCACCCAGAGAAACCCCTAGCATAGCCCTCTCCATAGCTCGCTGAGCAACCTTGAGCTTATGTGGCCAGCTGTAAAGGACCACGTCTCAGATCCATAAATCATCACAGGCAACACGCACTGGTTGTACAATCTTGTTTTGAAATTTTAAGGTAGACCTGACGAGAAGATGTATGGTAGTTATGTTCATATTATCGAAGGCCCCTTTTAAATTCACGTATTGTGACAGGGCAACTACTGAACCACACCGCTACATAATGCGTAACCCGTCACGCACTTGGCTAGTTTTTGTTTTGTAATTCGAGTAATGTTATTCATGTTTCGATAATTCGAGATTAGTTCCAGAAAATTATGGTACGCTACGACTCTCATAAAATATATCCTGATAAGTATAAAAATATATAACTTCAATTTCAGTTTCAAAAAATTTTCATCTATAGAAATAATACTTTATAATTAACAAAGTAAGTCTTTATAATATATCTGAAAATAACGTTTTCAAGGTGATCAAAACTTTTACACAACAAACAGGATTTTCCTGTGTCTTAAATATATCTTAATGAAAGAAGCTAACAAATTTGATAACAAATCGCGTGAGTATATAACTAGTCACTCTAAAAATATTACTTTAGTTAAATCTAAAAATTATAGTTCGCTCCCACCATGCAACTATTTCTGATTTTCGCGTCTATAGCAATGCGTTTGTATCAATTCATTTGTTTGATTTCATTCCTTTAAGCTTCTTTTGCAGTTTTGTTATCTTTACTATATAGTTTTTTATTATTAGTGTGCTCCAGTAATGCATTTTCATTGGTTCCCGGGGATAACAGCCATTATGTGGAAGGTGTAAGCCACTATATATGGATGCCGGACGGCAATGGTGTGCCTCATCTTGTAGACTTACATGAGCAACTGGATGACGACTTCTTGAGGATAAAAAATGACACTGATAACCAATATTGGCTTTATACTAGGTCAAATTTTCATGTATTTCTAGTTACATCCATAAGAAACTAGTTGAGATGTTTTATGTGTGCTCTAAAAACTTAATATTTAATACATAATTCAATAAAGTTAATTAGCATTTCTTTTACAGATCTAATCCCACCAGTGCACAGTTGATCATACACGGTGATAAAGACACAATATGGAATTCAAATTACGATGGTAACAAGCCACTACAAGTTGTTGTCCATGGCTGGAACAGCGATGTAAATTCCTATATGAATCCGCTCATAACATCTGCCTTCCTAGCGGTACTCGACACTAATGTCATTGTTGTTGATTGGAGTACTCTTGCAAATTCCAATTACTTTTCAGCCACTTACGGTCTCCCAAACGTAGGCCAAGATCTTGGAAACTTTTTAAATTGGCTCATTGAAACTGCTGGTGGAGACTGGGATCACGTTCATTTAGTTGGTTTTAGCTTAGGAGCTCATGTCGTTGGAATCGCAGGTCGCACAACTGGAGGAAAACCAGCACGTGTGTCAGGTAAGCTCTTCAAGGCAAAATAATTATTTATTTTATTAAAATAATTCAACACTGTTGTATCATAAATTAATGGCGTTTTTGATTCATTTTGTTCTTTTTTTTTCTCCTTGCTAAATAAGTATTAACTAACAGGTCTCGATCCTGCTGGGCCGCTGTGGTATGGAAATAAAAACGCATTAAATACCGACTCAGGAAAGTATGTAGAATCAGTTCACACAGATGGCGGATTTTTGGGGATGTTTGATCCTATTTCCCATGTAGACTTTTACCCCAATGGTGGTACGAATCCACAGCCTGGTTGCTGGATCAGCACTTGCTCTCACAGTCGCTCAGTTGAACTATTTGCGTCGAGTGTTCGCACCGACCAGTTTATTGGTCGACTTTGTAATAACACCACTGCACTGAAAAACCATCAGTGCACTGGAAGTACATTTAATATGGGAAACAGTGAAGTGACTAAGAGAGGGTAAGCATTTTCCATATACTATTTTTCATACCAACTCATTCACCATTTCATCATTTCATCCAGTAGAAAGGAAGGAAGGAAGTCGATGAACACAGGTGGGCCAGGAACAGCACCGTGCTTTGTAGCATTCCTTTGGGAGGTATTTTTTTACATGGGGAAATGCCTACGCATAACCACCTCGCGGGGGCAAGGACGGGCTATGTCGGAATCACACCGACTTAAACCCCATGGTGTTCCGAATTCGCCGCATATTGGCAGGGCCACGGGAACGCTTTCGCACACATCCGTAGCCCCACCAGCGCTGGCCACCCCATAGCAGCCCCCCTTGGAGGACTTCTCCTCCCTATTCTCCTTCTCAGGCAAGGCGCATTAGGAACACGTTGCACACCTGTCTCCAAGGCCTCCAACTCCACCTGCGTAACGCCCAGTCCCAGTCGCAGATTCCCCCAGTCCGATACGCGAAGGCCATGGGGCCAGGAAAATGGAGCGCTCAGTTGTACCCGCATTCCCGACCCCAGCAGCGGATCTGGTCTTTGGGTCCGCCGCCAACCAAGTTTTGACCGCGGAAGGTAGGGAGAGCGGCGTCTCGCAATACCGATACTCCTCTCCCCCCTGCGGTCCCACCACCACCCCGTCAACGGTACGGCCCCGTCAGAGTCGCTGAGGATAGAGCAATTGACGCTTTGCCATACCAACACACCTCTTCCCCGCGACTCCGCCTCGGCTGTGACTCACATCCGAAGTGGGCTTGCCAAGCCAACTCGGAGTGGCCACCTGAGGCCAGCCCTCTTAGTTCAACGCTGTAAAAATGTAAAGTTAATTTCATTACCCCTATCCAAAAAAATGTGAATGTCTTCTGTAGCGTAGAGGTATTTCTCATAAACAAATCGCATATGAACAAAAATCCAGACTAGAAGCCATTATTTGTACTTCATACCTCATATAAATATTTTGCAAGCACGCAGTCCGCAGCGCCGCTGCGTCGTAGCCAAAAATTTCGCCAGTAAGCTATTGAGCTAACTTAAAAAAAAAGGAAATTTTCAGTTCGGCTATTTTTTACTATCATCATTACAGCCTATCCATAGTAAACTGCTGAACAAAGGTGTCTCTCATAAATTGCCTCATTTTGCCATGCTTGGAATTTGGGTTGGCAACCGCAATTTTTTTATTACTCTAAGTTGTTATCAAGAAAATGCTGCTGGTCATATTTTGTTTCGGTTTTCCCCTGCCGCTTCTTACGAGATCCATGGAACGATATGAGCTAGAGGATGTTTTAGTGGATTCTCTTACGCCTTCACTACATGGCACGCGGCTTTTAATAGGTAGCAAATAAATAACTTCTTTCTTAGCAATTTAAAATCGGATGTGCCCGACCATTTTATATTTTTACGCTTCGAGTATCAGGGCCCGTTCGAGAGGTCGCACGATACGGGTAGGCGCTAATGTAAACAATGGTATCTTTTTACTTTTGTATGTAATTTATTATATTTTTTTAGTTATATTTAAAACTTATACTTATCGATTCGTTATGAATTAAGATATTTGATTCTTCCTTATATATATATGTATATATATATATATATATATATATATGTATATATATATATATATATATATATATATATATATATATATATTAAATTCTATTTTTAAGATATTATCAATGTCATTTCAAAATTGCGTGACGCAATTTTGCCGGTTGTACATAAAATGTAAGGGTTATGAAATTAAGCCGTTATATAAAACGGTATTTATTTTATTTGCTTAACAATACAACATTATATCAAAAGAGATTAAAAAATCACACCCCATCAATACATTTTTATCACACAACAAACTTTTTAATATCTACCTCCTTTTACGCGGCAAAACAAAAACAAGTTAAAACAATTGAAAGTGTTCAATTCGAAAACGTTTGAAAACGTTACATTACTTACAGCCTTGTCTTTAATCTATGTTGCTCAAAGATTAAAACAGCGTTTTATCTTTGAACAACATAGATTAAAGGCAAGGCGTGAAATGGGCACACGGGTTCGGCTGACACACGGGCCTGCATAAGCTGTCAACCCCCTGCGGACGTCATGACACATTATATAATTTACTAATCATTATTCATCGAAAGATCGTTTAATAATAATATTACAAAAGCTGCTAAAAGCTTCTTCCTAAATTCTTCTTTCCTAAATAAAAGAAAAACTGAACAATAACATTTCCTAATATTTTGGATACACTGACTATATTAGACAAATGTAGTCCCAGTACATCACAATTTAACATAGTTTTTGTTTTTAATTTATTTGATGTTTGTTTACAGATCTGGTATATATAGTCTGACAACAGGCAGTTCGTGGCCCTTCTTATAACAAGTGATTAATTTCGAATAAAATGTCATTTAAGTTTTAAACAGTAAATAAATAATTATTTATAATTTATTAAAATTAAAATTAAATGAGTACCTACATAACATTTTTTAATATACAAAATCCTCATCTTATATAAAAAATATTATGCTGCACGACGGCATTTTGCATTAATTATTGTGTTCGCGACGGCCAAATAGTGTTGTATTGTTTTTATATTAAAAGTGAAATTAGCGACAAAACTGAGTGAATAGTGTATTAATATACTTTTACAGAATGTTTATAACTCTTGATATATTTGTATAGAATGTCGTTTTGATAATAGTTAATGTAAACAACTTTTATTGTACAAGGAAAAATCGACCAATCACAGCGCGTCGTATCGTAGAACTTTCTAGAAATTTTTAATTAACTGCCTAATAGTTGATACTGAAAATAATGAAAATAATTATATGTTCCGAAACAGTTATAAATATGATATTGAATTAGCATAAGGCATAAAGATTAAGGAAGTGAAGGAATATTTTGTATAATTAAATGCATTTGGTAGTTATAGAAAAAGAATTAATGTACCCATTTATTATGAAAATTTGGGACATTTCGTTTAATAACTTTTTAAAATGTTAATTTATTGAGTAACCTTTGTGATACTAATAAAGGACCAAAATGCCGATTTGATGATGTATAGCATGTTAGTGTAGAAATTAGTTTTGTATAGAAAATATTGCAATTTATCCCAATTGTGTAGTGAAAATTGTATGCAATAAAGAGGCAAAACGGACAATGGCAAGCGGCTCACTATAAAGTATAGCCGAAGTCTACCTTATGGGCTCGGGATCCAGTAACGTTGTAGTATGAAGAACTACCAGTGAGCAAGCGGTAGTGTGAAGAACTACCAGTGGCAACCAGCGGTAGTAGGAAGAACTACCAGTAAGAAGCAGTAGTATCCGGTAGCAGCTGAAGTGACTAGCAGCAGTATATAGTGAATAGTGAAAGTGTTAGCTAGCCGAAAAAAGTGCTAACTGAAATTCGCAGTTACATATAGTGAAAAAGTGTTAGCTAGCCGAAAAAAGTGGTAACTGACATTCGCAGTTACATATAATGAAAGTGTTAGCTAGCCGAAAAAAGTGGTAACTGACATTCGCAGTTACATATAGTGAAAGTGATAGCTAATCGCAGAAAGTGGTAACTGATATTCGCAGTTACACAAGTGATAAAATCAGCTAGTTTAGTTGATAATAGCTGCTAGTCGGTAGTCTTTAGAAAACCAGCTACTACCAATAGATATTTTGATACTACCGAACAATTTAAAGAAATCTTTTGAAATATATAGTGACCAACCGATAGTGAACAACCGTAGTTGAACAACCATATTCGACAACCGTGGTCAATAAATAATAGTTACAAAATTTCGCGACTAATCGATCAGTCGAACCGCTGGCCACTACCTTGCCATTTGTATTTATAAATCGTGCATTTTAATTTTGAACCTCAGTCCACAGTTTTCCAGCAGCACCCACAAAGACGGCAGTAGAAGTATCCTCCGGATCCTACATAGGTGTAGGACGTGAGCGACTCGCGGAGTATTTTTTTGAACCAGTGGTAAAGTACTAAAGACTCAATAAGAATTACACATGTGATCTATATTGAATAAAAAAAATGTTCTATTCTATGCGGATTCTATTAGGATCCCGCTTACGACTACGACTACGATCCCTCTGATTACCTGACAACCACTACGCTGCTGCCACGAGCCCTGGAATGTTATTAATTGTCTTAAAATTTTTTAACATATTTTTAGTTATTTAAATATAATACATTGTCGATAAAATTATTACTAGATACCATATTAAATATTATTCTTATTGTAATATTTCCGCACCGGATACGGTAGTATATGTAAACCATTCCATAATTTCAACATCTGTAATTACCATATACTAAGAAATAAACGATATTCTATTCTATTATCGGTTCGATAAACTGCAAGTGGTCGAGTCACACTGCAACTGTACTTCCCGCTTTGAAAATGTATAATTTTCAACAGTAGAAAATTATAGATTTCGGACCGATTTTAAGAATGTGAGTTTTCAGATCTCCACGTTGTGTGTGCGTGGGCGTGTGCGTGTGCGAACTTCCCGCTTATTTTCAAGCGTGATCGTGTGTGTGTGTGTGTGTGTGTGTGAACTTCCCGCTTATTTTCGAGCATTGCGCCGTTCCAAGAATTGCCTGCAGGGTTAACCGTTTTTCAGATTTTTTTTATAGAATAATGGTGACAAACGAGCATACAGTCTACCTGATACGGCTACGTCTGTCTTCAAATAAGAATCAACTTCAGAACGCGGTTTCACCGCTAAGGACTAAAACAGATTGCCTCGTTACCAGTAAAAGGGGTCTCCTGTTCTCTACACTCACTATACGAAATATAGCAGCATTATGCTGGTATTCTGAGAAAGATTGGTCCTTCCCTGGTTGGGTAGAGCCATCCGTGCTAAAACTATGTATATTATAGCTGCAGCGTGGCTCTAACACGCCACGTTAACGCGTTCCGTGCTCACCCACGTTAAATACCAGTATTCTCCTTCATATATAGTAAGTGGCGAGAAGCGGAAAATCATTTTCGAGAAATACTCGGGGGTGGCAACACATTCAGCAATTCAATTCTTATTGTAAAATATTTGTGGGTGTCTATAGATCACGACATCCACTCAGCGTAGGACGGTTGCTGAGTGAATGCTGTGATAATATGTATGCTCGTCTTTTGTCCCTAACTTACAAAAAAACATGCCGTAATCTTAAACTAGTTTTATATTATAAATTAGGCATTATATATTGCGTAAAATTTAATTGCTATTTCCTACTTTAAGTTAACCCTAATATGCAATATAATATACCATTATTATTTCAATATCCCACTAAGCCATCTACACTCAACGTTTTCTTAAAAAATAATCTTACATAAAATATTCTGCATCACAATTTTATGGCATATCAACTTTATGTACCTACATACTTAAAATATGTTAATAAAATTACAAAACAATTACTAAAAACTTTAATGAAATTTGATTTTATTTTAATTTTTTACACGGACTTACTTTGTGGCATTCCTTGGAGTAGGCCTATGTTTAGCAGTGGACTTGTGAAGGGCTGTAATGATGATGATGATGATGGCGACAAGGACTTATATAGGGAAAGTGCTTGTTGGTTGTTCCGTCACGATTCTCTGAACGACGTATATATCCAAAGGCTATTGTCTCTATAAATGTTGGCTTGGTTTTAGAACCTTGTGGAATAGTTTATAAACCATGGCCCGACGGTATGGCTTTGATCTCTTGATAAAGAGTCTGAATCCTATCATCTAGGTACTTAGGTACGTAATATCCGATCATTCAATTGTATTCCAATGTAAGAATTTTGTAGAATTTTATAGAATTTTCATTTTAAATTCCAATGGAGGAATTAGGAGTATTATAATTTATTATTTATTTACAACTTGAAAAACGGGCAGCGATTAGAATAGTAAAGTATGCAATAATTTTTATTGAATATAGAAGGAGATTATAATTCTTTTTGAAAATATTTTTTTTTTTTGCTTTTAACACTAACTCTAAAAAAGGCTCTGTTCTGGAAAAAACAAGCAAAAAAGCAAAGAAGAATAATTTTTCTTAATTAACATAATACAATGGGAAAAACCCGGACAAGTGAGAGTAGGACTCGCGTACTCGGTTATCATTAATCACGTATTCATTTACATTATAATAAGCCTTATTATAAAATATTAAACTTATTAAAAAAGAGATGTTGTATATTTTATGAGACTATGCTAGAAAAAATTAATATGAATGAATAACTGACTCTATGGAGTCGATGTAACTGGTAATCACTAGCTTGTTTTTATTCCTGGTGTTTACATAATGTATATCACTATTTTATTTATTTCTCGGCGTGTCTATAAAGTACCGAATGGAACGCAAGGTGTATATTTTCTTTGCCACAAGTGAGCGATAGGTTGCATCACTCTAGCCGCTAGAGTCTAGCGGTGTGTTTATATCGATGGAGGTAAAATTGAAAATATATATAGCGATTTTGAGTATTTGTTGTAAGAAAATTCAATCCAATAAAGTGTGCTTTAAATATCTTTACTTGTTTCATTTTCTTGTTGAAGTAAATTCCTTTGAACATTAATTTTGTTTGCGGAATTCCGACTCCACAACAGAATTTTAACATGACTTGTAATTTGAAAAAAATAACCTTGCCCACCTTCACAGCAATATTCTTTGCATTGAAAGCTAGAAATACCGAGTGCTATAGCATTTCAGATTTTCTATGAAGTAGGTAAGTTATTAGTTAGTTGATCTCAGTTGTACTCAGGTGACCATACATTTTTTTTACACTACAAGAGATCAAACTTTTGGGAAAATTTTGCAAAACATGTTTTTTATAAAAAATATTTTTGAAAAAAAAAACTGTAGACGACCAAAATGGCAGTCAGTATTTGATAGTATAGCTATTAAAGAATGCTACAAAAAACAGGTCGAAAAAATTCCTTCATTTGTGATATTGGCATCGAAAAAATTGAACAAGAGCAAACAATTTAGAGAGCCGTGGTAGCTCAGATGGTTAGCACTCGCTGTAGGCTTCACAGTACGCTAGCAAGCCGGGTTCGATTCCCGCCGGCACCAATGAAATTGTTAATTGCAATTTTAAGTGCTGATTTACTACGTACTCGGCGGTGAAGAAAAACATCGTGAGGAAACCTGCATGTCTGAAAAACAACGGACATTTCGAAGCCCTAAAACCTCTCAGAAACGAGAGGATGCCTGTGCCCAGCAGTGGGACGTAAATAGGCGGCTTTACTTTTTTACTTTTAATCAATTTAGGAAAAATCGTAAATGTCCCATAAATCAAAAACCGTGAAAGTGGGTACGGTTTTTTGTTTTCTGAACAGTTATAATGTCCCCCACCCGTAGGGAAAGGTATATCCACTCTTTACGCCACACCTGTATAAAGTTCACTGTATACGCCGTACGTCATTCTACGAGTGCTAACTTGTAGAATATACCGTATAGTGGTTCTGTACGTTGTAGTAATTTTTCTAGTGCAGGCAAATAAGATCGTGTTGCTTAAAATCTGCTCTGTGTTACAATGAGATGGGTAGTTGCTGTTGGTTTGCATTCATGTAATTACGTCCCTCATGTTACACTACTGTGTAATTGTGACTAGGTGATATTACGGAGTGGTCGAACTATAATTGCACTACACTGAAAATAGTAGTGCAATGAGCTATTTTATTGCTGATAATGATTGATTGCGTGAGCAGGATAGCAAGTTGAGCATCCGCTCTCACACTATTATTATTTTTTTAAATTAACCTTCTGATGAATTTTCGATATATTTATTTAACAACTTATTTACACAAACAATTGAGAGGCATGGTAAAGAGTTTGTAGAATTAGTTATTTCATAGCGAATTTCTTCCAGTGAAGCAGTTAAAAAATTATATTATAGATAAAATATAATAAAGAGGTGAACTTTGTTATTATACAGGATGGCCCATAAGTTCCTTGAAATGTAAAAAAATAATTAAAAAAAAACTAATGACATTATGAAAAAGGTTTTTATTTTGTCATAATCCTTATAAAATGGGAATTATTTTTTGAAAATTACATCATCTAAATGTAATCCGTTACGATCGCGGCACTCCTGTAAGCGACGTTTAAAATTATCCATCACTGCGTGGCAAGTAAGCTCTGTAATGTTTGCCATTTCTCTTTGGATATTTTCTTTCAGGACGTCAATTGTCCGCGGGTTGGTTTCGTACACTTTAGTCTTAAGATAACCCCATAAGAAAAAGTCCATTGGGGTCAGATCTGGACTACGTGGTGGCCAAGGAATATCTCCTCTTCGAGAGATCACTTTATTAGGGAAAAGTTGACGGACGACCGGCATAGCGACGTTAGAGGTATGGGCAGTTGCTCCATCTTGTTGAAACCAGGTCCGCGTATTGAAACCTGGAAAATTCTGCAACTCTGGTGTAAAAAAGTCCTGGATCATAGCTACATACCGCTGTGAAGTAACAGTAAGCGCGCGGCCTCTGCCGTCCTCAAAAAAGTAAGGGCCTATAATGCCATGCGCTGACATAGCCGCCCAAGCTGTCACTTTAGGGCTATGTAAGGGCTTTTGATGTTTGCGATTTGGATTTTCGCAACTCCATTAGCGACAATTTTGCTTATTGACATGGCGTTGATGTGATATGATGTGTTGAAGTGAGCCTCATCAGAGAATAACACGTTATTAAACGAAGTAAAGCGGTTCAACATTTCATTTGCGAAATTTAGTCTGTGGATAGTGTCAGTATCTTTTAATTCCTGTACTAACTGAATCTTGTACGGGTGAAGATGTAAATCTTTCTTTAAAATTCGCTGTAACGATGTTCTGGGTAAGTTTAATGCACTGGAACGCTTACGAGTAGACTGGGTAGGATTTTCACGAATTGAGTGTTTCACTACATCGATGTTTTCTTCCGTCCGTGATGTCCTTGGTCGACCTGACCGTTGTTTATCCAACGTCGAACCACTCTCTTCGAACTTAATAACCCAGTTCTTAATCGTTTGAACACTTGGAATGTCTTTAAAGTTGCGTAAATTCTGATATTCTCGAAATTTACGCCGCGCAATGGTAGCCGAATCATTGTTTCGATAAAACTCGCGCACACAAAATGCACAGTCCGCACCGGTGAAACGCTCCATGGCGACTGAATTCCCAGAAACCGTCGGTACTCCCCCCGCACCGCGCGCGCCACTCATGCGCGCCTTTTGTATTTTATTCGAAATTTACATTTCTAACGACTTATGGGCCACCTTGTATAACACATGCAAGCATAAAATAAATACAAACCATTAAAACCTATCAAAGGCTTAAGTTACAAATGGCTTTAATGGCCCTCTTCTGCAAAAGAACGAAAGTTTCAAAATCAGTCCATTTCTCAGAATTCAATATGGCATTATGCTTTGGAAATAAAAGATACACTAGTGAGACTTCTAACCTTTTTACGGCAAATACATTAAATTGAATAAAACATACATTGTTCACGTTCACACTGCCAATGATTCATAGTAAGTACAAGCATATTATACATGTTATAAACTCTAAGGCCAATGTCAAACAATTAATAGCTTGTGGTCCAACAGTCGCACAGAGTAGAGACAGTCGCGAATTTTTTTTTAAACATTTGCCATTTACTGAATAAACTGTGTATTTTGTGTGATTTCAAATGTTCTTTCTTCTTAGTGTGTGTACCTATGTCAAGACAAGCCTTTATTTTATATTTTGTTTGTTGATTAAACTTCATGAATCAGGACCGAATTTTGACCACTAGGCGACCATTGTTATTGTTACTTATCAATATGTAACACATATATACACGTAAATACGTACTTACAGTACAACTAAATAATATCACAAATTTCACATTATAGTCAGTTTGATCTAAGAATAACTAGACAGATGTTTTAATTAACTTACAGTAGTATTATATTGAAACAGAAACAGAAACTTTTTGATTAAATATAGATTATAAATAATACTTATTGAAAGTCACTCTTTTGTATAATTACCACTGGTTCGAAAAAAACACCTCTGTCCTGAGAAGAACCAAAAAGAAACCCAGCGGGACTTTTTTTTAAATAACAGCTTACAATCATGTATGTTACATAAGTTAACAACACAACAAATTAGAAATAGCTTGGTAGCGATCACCTCATTTCCAGGGGTTATTATCATCTATAAATTCTTTAATATTACAATAACCCTTTTTATACAAACTTAGTTTAATAAAGTTTTTGAACTTTGAGCAGGTCAAACTTTGTATATTTTCTGGAATTTTGTTGTAAAAGCGTATACATCGCCCCAAGAATGAATTAGTGACTCGGTGGAGTCGAGTAACTGGTAGTACTAGTACTACTAACTGGTATTATATTTTATACGTGGTAGAGCCATGCTGCAGCTATATTAATAGTATAGTTGTAGCACGAATGGGTCGGCTCGACCGGGGAAGGACCACGCTCTCACAGAATACCAGCGTAAAATAGCAGCTTAATGCTGCTGTTTCTTATGGTGAGTGTAGAGAACCGGAAATCCATTTTACTGAAAAAGAGGCATTCTATCTTAGTCCTAACAGCTGACAACGCATCTGCATTTTAATTCGCAAACGAAGATAGATGTAGATGTCTATGGGCCACAGTAACCACTTACCATCAGGTGGATTGTGTGCTCGTTTGTCACCCTTATTCTATAAAAATTACACAGACATCCCGTAGACAGAAATAATTATATAAAATCTATTATTTTTATTACGCCCTCTTATTAAGAACCTAAATGTGCCCAACTGTATTTTTCACGTCAATTACCTTTGTTATTTCTAAATACATGCACATGTATTTTCAATTATGATGTACTCCTAGCCTATATCTGAGCAAACAACATTTTTTAAAAAAATAAAGGTGACGAATGACACAACATGTATATCCACCCTCACTCAAGAATCAAATTCAGATAATTTATCATCCCTGAGGACTAACATGGGATACCAATGTACGAGTAAAACTAGCCTCCGGTTCTTCTAACTCACGATAGGAAACACACCAGCAATAAGCTGCTATTTTACACAATTATTCTTTGAGAAGGAGCATCTTTCCCCGGTCAGACTGATAAATTCGTGCACAGCCAAAATTTAATCGCAGCTAGGCTCGACTACTAAATGCCGTACTACGTCTACGTTAAAGTATATTGACATCTGTAACTCTGTAAGATATCGACTGACCCGGACATATATTTATGTATATACTCGTAATTCTTCTGTCCGTGTGTGTGATTGAACTCATCCTAAACGGCTGGATCGATTTTGATGAAATTTCGTATGTATATAAGTTGATTCGAGATTGGCTTAGATTCACAATTGAACCCGGTTGGTAGCTGTCGAGATCCTAAAATCGCATGTGCGAACCTGGGGCGGATCCCTAGTAATTTGTAAAATTTAGGTTGTAGGTTTGATTTTCGGAACACGGAATAAGTGTTTGCATATGCTACAAATAATTGTACCGGGTATAAAAGTGTTTCCTATGTGCAATTTATGATTGTAAATCTCTTCCATAAAAATCCTAACTTGTTCAACTTATTGTATCAACTGAAAAAAGATTCACAAATGTATACACAAATAAATACGTCCTAACCTAAACTTTTCCGATGTAACAATGATGTGGTTAGATCAGAAGCAGGTTCGGAACCAGACACTGTTACTTAGACTCTGGTTCCGAGCCTGCTTCTGTTTTCATAGAAAATGAAAAAAAATCTTAAATACTCGTATCTTCAATAGAGTATAAAAATATGTTTAAACTGTCGTCATTAATCACGAAGAAAACACCTGCTAAGATAAATATATCGCTAAAACAATCAAGTACTCGAATAATATGGCATGATTATGGACTAATTACTAGATATCATCTTGAAATTATCAAGCCCTCAGCCATTTTACAAAATTTTATTTAAGATAAGGATTTAATAAATAGGTACTCCGCCAGTTAGTTCAAAACTGCACTCAAAGCTACCTTAGCCATGAAGTGTTTGGCAATTATGCTTTCTATTATAGCATGTTAGTAGTACGTTTTTGTCGATACATTCAAATATTAATTAAATTAGTACTTGTTCTTCATATTTTGCAATTGTCGTATGTGCTGGTAATGCTATACCCTTTGTGCCCGGGGATAACAGCCATTATGTGGAAGGTGAAAGCCGCTATGTATGGATTCCGAACGGAGATGGCGACCCCACCTAGTGGATTTGGAGGAGCCAGTCGACGAGCCACTCCTAAGAAATAGAAATGGTGCAAACAATCATTACTGGCTGTTCACCAGGTTTGTGTAACAATGTACCAATATAGTGTATATATGTGCATATAGGTAAACACTAAACAGGACCGAATTTGTGCAGTGTAGCAGTGGACTTGTGAAATGCTATCATTACAGCCTTATCGGGTACATACCGCAAAGGAGAATGGGATTTTTGGGCTTGAAGTTAACTAATTGGTTTATACTGTAAAAAATTGGCTATATTTTTCTAAAGTAAAATACAAAAAAGTAGCCCTTTTTACAATCTAGAATTCGAAAAAACAATAAAATAAGAAATGAGTTGGAAAATCGATTGTATCGATATTATATTTATTCGGATTCAAAAAATAAAATAAAAAAGCGTGCAAAGTTTGATTAAAATTATATTATTTACTTTGAATGATACATTCATTTAGAAATAAAATATATTATTCGCTTATAGAAAAAAGAAAAATAGACATTTTATAGCAATATAAATCGATTACCATAAAGTATACACTTATGAAATTCTCGTTTCTAAACGTCTTTAAAAATCTTTCAATAGAGTACTTCTCATTTTGAATTTGATACTTGGCGTGACAATTCAAACTTCAAACTATTCATTTAAAAGAATAAGACAGGTTTTCGATTCGATTTGAAGTGAACGCAATATAATCGATTCTTGATTAAATTGAACGTATTAATATTTATTTTCAATTATTTTTCTGTGTTAAGGAGATAAAAGTGCGAACATATCTACAAAATAATAATAAAAAAATACAAAATATCAACATTCCAACATGTAAGAGTAACAATAACAACTCATGTAATCGATCTCAGATCGATATCCCTAATATTAACTTCACTTAGTCGTTATTAATTTAACTTTCGTTAATTGTTTCACCATTTTATTTCCTTATTAACCACTACTTCTCTTTAGTGATTTTATGCTGATCCTGCTTTTATATTTTTAAGTAATTTTAGTGAAAAATCACCTGTTACAGTGTAGGTAATACTTAATCTCACTTTTACTTATTCTACAATAACTCAGCTTATAAATTGACAAATCTCACCACATTTTCAGCTATGAATCGTTTGTATATACGCTTTCAAATGGTCCTACTTTCATCTTGTTAACACCTGGGCCCAAGAATGTATGGGGACGTCTCCTTCTCTTTTAAGTCAATACAACTCATTTCATTATTTTTATCAACTTCGACTTCGAACTTCGAATCCATTGCTGCAGAGATGCCAAATGTAACTTTATTTCATTGAAATAAAAACTTAATTCTTGAAGTTTTTTATACATACATTAATTCGGAAGCATGTTTCTAAAATAAAAAATGTTTATTCTTCTTCTTTACCACAATTAACCATAATCGCCACAATTGGAATACGGATTGGCGATCGCAGTATCAGTCGCACCTTTGATGCTCCACGATACCAGTTGAAAACTAAGTGTTTTATTACTAGAGCTAAAGATCTTTCTGACTTTTCGTCCGTTTGTGTGCGTGCGTTTATTAGATGGTCGTATAGGTCGCCACCATACGGCAATAACATTATTAAAGTTTCAGACTATATGTCCTACTCAAGAGCACAAACATCTGGTCATTTCTGAGACGTGTCCACAACTTAATTTATCATTTCTCAGGAAGGCAGGTTTTGTCACATTGATTATTTTCCCGCCGAGTACAGGTAAATCAGACTGAAATTGAGAGCCTCCTAAGTTACCACGGCTCTAATATAGATAGATATAATAAAAAATCATTCGAAACCGGATATACTGACATTGCTTAAAACGACTGATCAGTTATTGCCACGATATGGCTAGGAACCAACTGAGGCCCGATATAAATATATTGCTTTTATACTTATGACTAATGCCATCCGTATCTATTTGTCCTCGTTTAGCATCTGGGGGCCGTCCAATAGTGGTTCTCGAAAAGTGTCAACTTTATGTCCCGGGACGCACCCAATTGATTGAATGATAAAAACATCCTCTTACTTTATCCTCGTCTTTATATTCATATCCATTATAGATGATTTCTTTCCAGATCGAACCACACCAACCGTCAAGTCATTGTACATGGTAACGCAAATACAATCAGGAACTCCAACTACATCAGAAACCGACCAATCTTTGTTACTGTTCATGGATGGAATAACAATGGAAACAGTGAGATGAATCCTCTTCTTACATCAGGCTTCCTCGCTGTCCAAGATGCAAACATCAATGTCGTTGATTGGAGTGGACTTGCCAATTCTAACTACAATACTGCCGCTAATGGCGTTCCCAATGTTGGTCAACACCTTGGTAACTCCTTAATATGGCTTATCAACACTGCAGGCGGCAATTGGAACAATGTTCACTTGGTTGGCTTCAGCTTAGGATCCCACGTAGTCGGTAACGCTGGCCGTACTGCCGGAGGCCGACCTGCTCGTGTTACTGGTTAGTTATAATTTTGATGTATTTTATTGATAATAAGACACAAAACGTAAAAGTGATGCGGGTAGGCAGGTATGTGAGCTATCTTGTGAATTTGTAAAATAAAGTGTTATAATATACCTCAAACTATTTGTTCCACTTTAGTGCCTTAAGTTACTTAAGCAGTGGCGTAGCTACCCAGGGGATAAGCGGGACAGTGCGCCGGGCCCCCAAGCTAAAGGGTCCCTTCAGCCTCCAAGAACGACCTTCGAAAAATTATGTACTATCCTAGTTGTATAAATAATTTTCGAGTTTTAATTTTTTGGCCCCTGACCGCGAACGACTCGAACTGAAATCACAAAAATTACTCCCACTTCCAGAATATAAATATAACATTGTTAAAGATAATTGTCTACTTCGTTTTATTGTCTTTTTATATACAAGAGTGGGACAAGCGGGCATGCGCCTATTAACAAATATAGCACCAGAGGAATTGCAGGCGCGTTGCCGGCTTTTTTAAATGGAAGTCATCTTTGTCGGTCGTCGACGATTCGAGCCGCTCAGCGATGGATGCGATCAAGTGGAAGGAGCTCGTACTAGTTAGCCCCGGCCCAGGGATGAAAACAGTATACCATGTTAGGCCGAATCTGCCTCTTGTAACGTTGCAAGCAGTGAGCCGGCATAAAATACTGTTCCGCTCTGCTGAGCACGCCAAGCTTTTTAAAGACCAATTCAGCCTTCCCTTCCAAGTGACCATAAAAATGCACGTTATTCGATATGTGAACATCAAAGATTCCGATACTGGCTGAGGTAACAAGGTAAGTGTCCTGAAATTGAGGAGTTACGACAAAGGGGTTCTTTATAGTGGTAAACGCGCAAACTTGGGTTTTCTGGGCATTGAACTTAATTAAATTTAGTCGCCCCAATCCGAGACCTTATGCGACAAAAACTCGACTTCAGACACAAGTTTGTTCCGGTACTCGGTGACAATTTCCCGAGAAATATAGACACAGCCGGTGTATAAAGCATCACCAGTGCACGTTACTGATTTGCAACATATTATTGATTAGAAGAAGAAATAGAGTAGGTGATAGCACGTAGCCTTGTAGAACACCAGCATATATAGGCTTGTAGTTGGAGCATGCACCTTCTACTACGACTTTGGTGCTCCAATCTGCAAGAAAGCTGCTGATCCAGTTCCACAAATTCTCGGGAAGCCCGTAGGAAGGGAGCTTCGAAAGAAGCGCTTTGTTCCAAGCCCGATCGAAGGCCTTCGCTATGTTCAAACAAACTGCCAGTGTCTCCCTCTCTGCCTTTTTATGAGTCAGGTAAGCAAGAAGATCACTAGCTGAGCAACCCCGACGGAAATCATACTGGCGGTCACTTTTCAGTTTGTGACCCTCAACCTCATGAGCTGGCAGTTCACAATGGTTTTCATTATTTTAGAGAACAAGTTGGATAGGTCTGAGCGGTCGATTTTCGGTTATTTTTTAGGGATCTGGTGCACTAAAGCTGTCTTATTTGAGCTCAGGATCGGGACTACGCCTAGGGAGATTGGCCCACCCGTCTAGGGAGAGTAGTGCTATGCACCAAGCGCTGTGTAAACCGTATCACACCGACGTGAAGGCGAAATTCATCATTACAACCCTTCACAAGTACACTGCTGAACATAGGCCTCCCCCGAGGAATGCCACAAAGTACGGTCCTGAGCCAACTGCATCCATCGATTTCCTGCATGTCTTACCAGGTCGTCACTCCATCTAGTGGGTGGACGCCCTACACTTCATCCGCCGGTAAGGAGGTCGCCACTCGAGAACATTTTTTTTCCATATCGGTTGTCTGTTCTTCGTGCTAAATGGCCGGCCCATTACCACTTCAGGTTACTAATTCGTTGGGCTATCTCAGTCACTATGGTTCTACTGCGGATATCCTCATATCCGGCCAGCAGTGAAGGACCACGTCTCAGTTCCATAGGTCATCACTGGTTGCACAGTCTCGATTTCAAGTTTTGAGGTATAGGTACCTGACGAGAAGATGTGCCGTAATTTCACGAACGCAGCCCAGCCGAGTTGAATCCTTCGATTGACCTCTCGGTCGAAGTTGGACTTACCTAGTCGGACTATTTGTCCCAGGTAAACATACTCATCAACAACTTTGAGCTTAGTGCTCTCAACAACTACCGGCATAGGTGTGACATGGACGTTATGCTTGATCTTTGTTTTGTCTATGTACATCTTAAGGTCATTGAGCATAGTGCTTAGGTCCTCCAGCGATTCTGCCATAAGAACTATATCGTCGACAAATCGAAGGTGAGTGATGTACTTGCCGTTGATGTTAATACCGTATCTTTTCCAGTCCAGAAGCATGAAAACGTCTTCCAATGCAGCGTTGAAGAGTTTCGGGAATATAATGTCACCCTGCCTTACACCTCTCTACAGTTGGATAGGTTTCGTACTCTGGTTCTGTACTCGGATTGCCATCGTAACCCTACTGTACAAACACTTCAGCACTTCGATATACCGACAGTCAACTTGGCACCGCTGAAGGGACTGCAGCACCACCCAATTTCGTCGGAATCAAAGGCTTTCTCATAGTGCACATACGCCAGACGTAGTGGCAAATTGTACTCCTCAGACTTACCTCTACCACGTACTTTCTACGTGGTAGAGCCATGCTGCAGCTATATTAGTAGTATAGTTGTAGCACGAATGGGTCGGCTCGACCGCGGAAGGACCACGCTCTCACAGAATACCAGCGTAAAATAGCAGCTTAACACTGCTGTGTTTCGTATTGTGAGTGTAGAGCACCGGAGACACTCTTTACTGGAAAAGAGGCATTTCGTCTTAGTCCTCACGGGTGACAACGCATCTGCATTTTGAGTCTTTATTGAGGATAGATGTAGATGTCTATGGGTCACAGTAACCACTTACCATCAGGTGGACTGTGTGCTCGTTTGTCACCCTATCCTATAAAAACAAAAAAAAAACCTTATGAAATTAACTCGTAAGAACTTTATGTGCATAATACTTAAGAATATTAAACCCCCATATTTTGTTATTAGGATTGGATCCCGCCGGACCTCGATGGGTTGGTAACTCAAACGCGCTGAACTGTAAAGCGGCGTCATACGGACGGCCGTATCCTTGGTATTATAGACGCGATCTCTGACGCTGATTTCTACCCTAACGGCGGTAGAAAACCACAACCTGGTTGCTGAGTCAGCACGTGCTCGCATAGCCGTGCACTTGAACTTTTTGCATCGAGTGTTCGTACAAATCACTTTGTAGGCAGATTTGCCCAAATATCAACGAAGCTGAGCTCTCTACATGCAACGGTGCTACATTCAATATGGGCAACGCAATCATGAACAAACGAGGGTAAATAATATTATATACTTGTTACTTTATTCATTAACGTATCTTACATAAGACACGTCATAAGAACGTAAAAATCCAAAAAATCTACACAATCATTATAAATGCGGTAATGCGAAGACCCCATGAAAAAAGCTGGTGAAACTTAGTACTCCTGTCTATGATAAGTAATTTTGTACATTTCATTTCAGACGCGGCATCTACGCGCTACGAACCTGCAGCTCTTGGCCTTTTTAGATGAATCTTTTGCACAATCCTAAAATATAATTCTGTTCATAATATGATACGAGGGTGGATTGAAAAGTACTCGGCCTAACCAAGAAAATAATCAAATACTAAATCAGTTATATTTTTATTTTTCTACATAATCACCATCAAGTTCAATACACTTTTGCCACCTCCCCTTCCAAACATTTAGACCGTTGAAAAAAAATGATTCTTCCTTAGAGTCAAAATATGCGTCTACAGCTGCTTTGATTTCGTCGTTTGTCGAAAATCTTTGACCTTCCAAGTGCTTTTTTAGGTTAGGGAACAGAAAGAAGTCTGATGGTGCCAGATCAGATGAATACGGCGGATGCGGTAAAAGTTCAAAGCCACAGTTGTGAATTTCAGCCATTGACTGTACTGACGTGTGAACACGGGTGTTATCTTGATGAAACAGGACTTTTCTTCTGAGCATTCCTCGACGTTTTTCTTTTATTTCCTCTCGTAAACGACGTAGTAAGGTGCAGTAGTAATCAGAGTTTATATTCCGACCCCTTTCAAGATAATCAATCATAATCACACCTTTCGAGTCGCAGAATACTGAAGCCATCACCTTATTTGCCGACAAAATCGACTTAGCCTTTTTAAGGGGTGGTGAACCAGGTCTTCTCCTTTTGATTGTTGTTTTGTTTCCGGTGTACAGTAATGAACCCATGTTTCGTCCATCGTAACAAAACGATTCAAAAAATCATCTGCATCGGCTTCAAATAACTCCAAACAGTCGCGTGAAATAGTCAATCGCGTCCTTTTTTGTTCAACTGAAAGCAGTCGCGGAACCCACCTCGCAGACACCTTGTGGAAACCCAACTCGTTGACAATGATGTTTTGAGTTCGTTCATAAGAGATGCCTATAATCTCGGCTATCTCTCTAATTTTTAATCTGCGGTCTCCCATTATTAAATCAAGTACTTTTTTAATATTTTCGTCAGTAGTTGACGTCGAAGGCCTTCCAGAGCGGGGTTCATCTTTCACACTCTCTCTACCACGCTTAAATTCTGCTATCCATTTTTTGACGGATGAATATGACAGAGCACAATCGCTTAATGTACTGACCATGTCATCATGGATGGCTTTTGGTGATAGCCCCTTCTTATGGAGGTACTTAATGACGGCACGCTGCTCGATTTGCTCCATTCGCGGAAATTATGTCCGATTACTTTGTTAATAAATTTATAAAATCACAACTAATTATCGCACACGTTTCGAACTTCACACAATGAACTAGTCTGAACTGAACTAAATAATGTGGGTAGATTTGATTTTTAGAATTGAATGGATCTGTGTTAGGCCGAGTACTTTTCAATCCACCCTCGTATTTGTTTTATTAACAAACCCAAAAAACGAAGTTTATTATTGTTGTCTATTATAGCTGTATGTAGGCAATGT